TGATTAATCAGTTTTAACATAGTCTTTAAATAGTGCGCAAATGAACATGAATTCATCTTATGAGATTAATTAGAAAGAATTCTTCCCAGTGTTTTTAAAGGGCATAAAGTCAACATTACTAATTACAAGGCGCACGAGCTCTGCGTGAGTAAAAGATCAGCACCTGGCGGATGTGTTTGGTGTCGGGGCTCTGCGGCTGGCACTGGGGGTTGACCCTGATGGGCAGCCGTTTGTCTTCTCAGCGAACGGACCCCTGGCGGACGCCCTGCAGCAGGCCCTGCTGCCCGTCGTCGACCACGCCACCTGCACGCAGCCGGACTGGTGGGGCAGCACGGTGAAGACCACCATGGTGTGCGCAGGAGGGGATGGGCAGCTGTCCAGCTGCAACGTGAGTCTCGGGATGAGTGCCCTTCAGTGAAAAGCATTTTCTATCTCCAAGGATTTCCTAGAATACATAAAAGCGGGTATTTGGACTATGGGCACATCACTACGATACCCTAAGATTTATCCTTGCGCTAAGATTTATCACAGCCTACACCTTAAATGTGCCTTACCATACTTGATTAGGGTGTGTATCTTCAGTTTATTTCAAGGTTTACGAGGAATGTGAGAGGAAAGTGTCATGGATGTCAGGAGGGACAACCGTAGAATGGCAGGAGAGCGAAATAGTCCCTATGCCTAGCGGCAAGACGGTGGTTAGCCCGGGTTAAGCTGTTCAGGAAATGCCGTATAGAAACATATGCCCTAAGGTTGCAGACGTGGGGCGACCTGGTGCTTGGCGGGTTTCAGGACATCCGAACCCCAATGCTGAGCGCAGGAGCAGAAGCAGGAAATAAATAGGCTACACAACGAGACACACCAGAAAGACATGAATCGCAGAGAACTAGGAACAGGAGAGAAGTAGAGCCATAAAAACATGAAATTCTGCAAACGAGAGGCCAATTGTTTGTTTGCTCGTAGCTAAATGACCCGAGGATACCAGGTGTTTCACGAAGGAGGCCAGGGTATCAGCTTCAAAAAGCAGCTCGTTTCAATCTCCAATAACTGCCTGCACAAAGAAATGCTTCCTGTTCTGGTCTGGTTCTGAAGACCTGCTGTTGTACAACAATGCTGTGCAGCTCTACCTGACTTTCGAAAGGAGGCCTTGTTGTGAAGGTGTCACACGTCACTGTGTTGTCCAGGGAGACTCCGGCGGCCCCCTGAACTGCCAGGGCAGTGATGGGTCCTGGGAGGTCCACGGTATCGTGAGCTTCGGCTCCAGCCTGGGCTGCAACTACCCCAAGAAGCCCTCTGTCTTCACCCGCGTCAGCGCCTACATCAGCTGGATCAACAACGTGAGTCCAGGCAAACGTAGCT